GATTTAATATGCAATTATTTTTTTAAAGCTCTTTATGTTCTGTATTATTCAACAAAGACAAGCTTTAAATCATTGTATAGTATGACCAACACACTATTAGATAGATTAAACATAAATGTTCTTTTCTGTAGGCCAGGCCTATATGTATATGTATGATGAAATTAGGTGATGCATGAAGATATGAATGACATTTTTATTTAACAACTACAATCACTGTATATTGACTGATTTGTTGAACTTCCAACCTTGTGAGCATGTAATAATTATGACAACATAAAGCAAATAACAAATAAGCACAAATAAGCCTGGTGTAAACATTAATATGAAAGTCAGTAACAAATCACAGAAACTAAAGTAGATTGCAGAAATATAGAAACAAATCTGTTGCTTTACCACACTACTTTAGGTAATTCAAAGTCACTGTAATAAACATATGTAAACATGTGGACTGCACTTTTTAAACACTGTCTGTTAACTTTAGACCAGTGCTTCTCAAACTTTTTTGGTCCGCCCCCTTTAAATTTAAAATCTTTTTTTATTTAAAAAACCTACAGGGAAAAAAAACATCTGCATCACTTGAAACATTGAAAAATAGCATAGAGAGAATAACTTATTATTATTATTATTCTCCCTCTGTTATTTATTAAAATAACTATATTGTGATATATATGTCGTTATTGTGATATAAAATTTTGTTCATATCGCCCACCCTGAGGAAGAATGCATGTGAATGTCTTTCATTGTCATTCAAATGAAAGTTTGACAGTGCAAAGTCTTCCTTCCTTCTATTTACTGGTTATTTTACACTAATTTAACATGTTGAACTGGCCTTCAAATGCATTGTGATTTATTTTAAATCTGCTGCCTAAGTATTGTGCGTATTGTCATGTTTTTGTAATTAGACTTCTGATCTCCTGATCTGTCTTTCTGTGTCCATCTAGTGCACACTGGTATCTCGCCATAATCTGTTTTCCGGGTCTGGAAAAGGCTCATGTTGAGCTAACCCCGCTGTACCAGCCTCAAACTCAAGCCCATAGCACTGCTGTCTCCTCCAGCCCGCCCACTGATGGAGGTTCGGATGAACTGGACGACGTCAGGCAGCACACGGCCGTCCCGCACAGATCTGCAGCTGATGTGAACAGACAGCAGCAGTACACAGGTGAGCACGTGAGCCACACGAGTGCATTCATAAGGTTGAACGATTATGGAAAATAATCGAATTTTTTTTTTTAACCAATATTGCGATTGTGATTTAATATGCAATTATTTTTTTAAAGCTCTTTATGTTCTGTATTATTCAACAAAGACAAGCTTTAAATCATTGTATAGTATGACCAACACACTATTAGATAGATTAAACATAAATGTTCTTTTCTGTAGGCCAGGCCTATATGTATATGTATGATGAAATTAGGTGATGCATGAAGATATGAATTATTTAACTATTTAACAACTACAATCACTGTATATTGACTGATTTGTTGAACTTCCAACCTTGTGAGCATGTAATAATCATAAAGCAATAAAGCAAATAACAAATAAGCACAAATAAGCCTGGTGTAAACATTAATATGAAAGTCAGTAACAAATCACACAAACTAAAATAGATTGCAGAAATATAAAAGCAAATCTGTTGCTTTACCACACTACTTTAGGTAATTCAAAGTCACTGTAATAAACATATGTAAACATGTGGACTGCACTTTTTAAACACTGTCTGTTAACTTTAGACCAGTGCTTCTCAAACTTTTTTGGTCCGCCCCCTTTAAATTTAAAATCTTTTTTTATTTAAAAAACCTACAGGGAAAAAAAACATCTGCATCACTTGAAACATTGAAAAATAGCATAGAGAGAATAACTTATTATTATTATTATTCTCCCTCTGTTATTTATTTTTTGTGGGTTTCATCCTGTCCGCTAAGGCATAGGACACACACACAGGCTTTCCTCCTCACTCACCAACGACATTAACCCCCGTGTCTACACTGGAAGCGAGCGGCAAAATACAGTAGAACCCATTATAATCAGTGACGCAGTGTACACTGGATGCGGCGCGACCATAGACTGTATAGGGCGCAACACGACAAAACCCGACATTAAACTGATGCCTTGTTCTATTTATGACGTACTGACACAACGTTAAAATGATTTGCAATCGTCGCTTTTTCGCGTCCAGTGTAGAGCTGTTGCGGCGCGGCGTCCGGTATAGACACAGTGAGTGAAGCCGAGAGCAAGATATGGCTTGTCATATTTTCTGCATTTAGCTTTTAAATGACCAGCACCTGCCTGGGTCTGTGCGACTTCATCTATGGCTTTTCTCTTCGCTATCACAAACCGATTCATCTCCCATTCTAAGTTACGTCCTTTGGCTGTTTACTGTTTTATTTCTTTTCTTTTTCTGCTGATGGCCCGCGCTCGACTTGAAGCAGCGCTGCTTGGACAGATGGGTGTGTGTCATCAAAGTACTGCAAGAGCTAAAAGAGAGCGTGGATGTCTCCTTATGCTTTCTCTCGCCGTACTTTGATGTCATACACCAATCGATCTTCAAGTCGATCACATCTCTTTACTCTCGCGTGTCATGTGACCGAGTGTAATTGCAGCCTCTGCGATTGAAAAATCGCGTTTTTTCATATCGCGATATTATCGAAAATGCAATTAATCGTTCAGCCCTAATGCAGACTGCCGCTGGGTCAATGCTTGATTTCCATTTGGTTTTTATTCTAGATGGTTTACACCGAATAATCGAGTGTTATGGGACAGATGACTCGCATAACTCAGATGACCAAAGCTCATGTCAGGTAAGTCGTCTCAGTTTGGCTAATCTGTGGTATCAGAGTTGACTTTTGTCATGCTTGCACAATTGGTGGCTGACTAAATACTTTTTTGCCCCACTGTATATTGTAGGGATGTAAAGATTTATTTATTTTATCTGTGCAATGCTACAAAAGATTTCTAATTTAAATAAATGCTGTTCTTTGGAATTTTCTTTGGAATCTTAATTTCTTCAATTTTCAGTTCTAAGAGAAAATGGCCACAGTTTCAACAAAAATGTTAAGCAGCACAAATGTTTTCAACATTGATAATAATAAAACAATTCTTAAGCAGCAAATCGGCATATTAGAATGATTTCTGAAGGATCAGTTGACACTGTGGACTGGAGTAATGATGCTGAAAATTCAGCTTTGGAGAGGCTTTTAGAAACATTAAAAAAAATCTCATTGACTCCAAACTTTTGAATGGTACTGTACATACTTAAATGTAAATAAAAAGGTTACACGATTACAAGGCAACAATGGAACTATTTTAGGTAACAGAAATTGTAATAAAATAGTTTAGTTTCCAACATTGTGTTCATTTGTTCAGGAGTTCCTTCATATTTACATGTAAGGTTGTGAGGTCATTTAAAGCTAGCTAAAAGTAGAAAGATTACATTCATTTGGTGATATTTGATTTGGATTATTGATTTCAGATAACCTTTACTGGAATACACAGTTCGGGTTATTAAAAACAGGCTTGCTTTCATAATGGAAAAATACTATTTTCAATTATCAACAACAATTCACTATTATGGTGTAGTGCGTGTATTAGATTTTGACGAGAAATGTAATGTTTGGATAATTTTGGGGAGTTTTGTCTGTATCTCTCATGTTGTTATCTGTGTTTTCAGGACGGGTGTAGTGAAGATGACAGTTTGGTCGATGAGTGTGGGAGCTTTGACAAAGCAGAGTTGACGTCCAAACCCACCATCTGCAAACAGTAAGAGCAAATATTCCTCAAATAACTTTGCATAGCTAATACATTATATAAAATATTTTGATTCAATATAAAATTTTAGAACAGAGTGAATCCGTTACATCAAATCAGATAAATGTGTTAAATTTATTCTTTCACTTTTTAATTGCATGTTAGCTTTGATGAACCAATATTAAGCCTGTTTGTTTACAGTTTGAAAGCTACAGAAGAGTTTCAACTAGAGATGCACCGATAAGAAATGTCTCAGCCAGTACAGGTGGTCATTCAGAATGATATCTGCTGATACCGATGCCAATAATTTAGTTTTATTAAAGTAAAAAAATCTCTCCCAACTAATGCTTGTTAAACTTATTGTTGCTCTTTTGTTAGTTTTGACTGCTTTTATTGTCCTCATTTGTAAGTCGCTTTCGATAAAAGCGTCTGCTAAATGACTAAATGTAAATGTAATGCTGTAATCTATACAGGGAGCCCCCCTCCTTTTGGTACATTAGAGGTTAAAGGGTTAGTTCACCCAAAAATGAAAATTGTCATTAGTTACTCACCCTCATGTCATTCCAAAACCGTAACACCTTCATTCTTCTTCGGAACACAAATGAAGATATTTTTGATGAAATCCGAGAGCTCTCTGACCCTCCCATAGACAGCAAGGTAACTACCACGATCAACGCACAGAAACGTAGTAAGGACATCGTTAAAATGATCCATGTGACATCAGTGGTTCAACTGTAATTTTTTTGAAGCTACGAAAATACATTTTGTTCTCAAAGAAAACAAAAATAACGACTTTATTCAGCAATTTTTCTCCGCGTCACCCTGGTGCCATTTTGGCGAGTATCACGACGCATGTGCATGCTTTCCTCTGAATGTAAACAACGTATGCTGTTCTGTGTCAGCAACATCACACACATACGTTGTTAAATCGTCATTTATTTGTTCGCATTTTGTGATAAAAGTACAGGATTTGAAAGCTGAGACTTTGTTTCTTTTTAGACAAAGCACAAAGCTCTTTGCAATATTTGGATCAGAGACGCATTGCAGATAATGTTTGGTGAAGGGGAAACCGTGGACCTGGCAACCTTGGCTTGAACTATGATTCATATGGTCAAATAGAACCTGCGTTAACAGCGCTGTGTTGATGTCTTATTGTCTTATATAAGTATGACACATGCATTTTCTTCATGCAAGTTGCTGTCTCATACATTTTCTGCCCCCTTTTGATTGACAGGACATAAATAGTCCCTGATCATCTGCTGTTTTTAAGCAATTACTTTAATCGGCTGATACCGATTATTGGCCGATACATCAGTGCATCCCTACTTTAAACCAGTATATTATAAACAATGACCTGGGTTGGTTACCATTTAGAATTTAATTGTGCATTTTAAATTCCAATTCAGTTCCTATTTTTCAGCACTCGTTGTGATGTTATTAAAATCCTCAGGCCTTGTATTCTGATCATGGACTCCCTGCGTGGACCAACCAGGTCGACTGTGGTGAAAACATTACGAGAGTAAGTTATTGCTCCGACACAGACGAGTAAAAATAAAACCTTTAAATGGATGTGATTTTCTGATCACAGATGTTTTTGCAACGAATAGTTATTTTTCTGTGAGAATCATGGACAATCGCCTTGAGTTTTTAAACAATAATGAGAGTGGCTGTAAGTTTGCATATATATTAGTGAGTGTTTGTCCTGGTGTTTGTGCAGGTATCTAGAGGTGGAGTGGGAGGTGAAGAAAGGCTCCAAGAGGAGTTTTGGGAAGGATGTGATGAAGGGCTCGAGTCCTCGTGTGCCCCAGCAGGATAACTTCAGTGACTGTGGAGTTTATGTGCTGCAGTATGTGGAGAGCTTCTTTGAGGTGAGAGGACTCATGGGAACTGTATATCTAATAGTGGACTGGACAACATATTCTGGATCCCCCAGATTTTCAAAAAACTGCCAGAGCTTCCTCATATTCTACGCTTTTGTTCACACACATCCCAGACATTTTGGTAAAGATGAAGGACATTGCAGTGGTAATAGTTTCACGTTAAATCAAATAGGTAATTCAGGTCTCACTTTAGTTTTTGGACCAATTCTAAAGGCCATTGCACACCGAGTCCGAAATTTTTGCATAAATTGAAAAATAAATACGACCTCACGTTATGTCAATCACTTTTACACACTGCCTCCGAAACTTTCATCCGTCATAAAAAAATTCGGATCGGGTTCGATTTTCTGCGTTTTTCGCATCCGTAGCAAGCTTTTTGAGAGGTGTTTTGACAATTCAGATCCACCGAACAAGCGAACAACAAAATCCAGAATGGCGATTGTAAAGTTCATCCACTTCGTCTCGCAGCACAAAGCACCGTAAAGATCCTTGCACACTGAGTTCACAGAAACTGGTGGTCTTCTTTTTAATATGTGGCTCTAGTATCGCTAGCAAAGCATCAAACTGAGTTACTAGCCGGGTTTCCATCCAAAGTTGCGAATTTAACTTGTGCGCAAAACTACGCATGTGCATGCTTTCCTCTGAATGTAAACAACGTATGCTGTTCTGTGTCAGCAACATCACACACATACGTTGTTAAATCGTCATTTATTTGTTCGCATTTTGTGATAAAAGTACAGGATTTGAAAGCTGAGACTTTGTTTCTTTTTAGACAAAGCACAAAGCTCTTTGCAATATTTGGATCAGAGACGCATTGCAGATAATGTTTGGTGAAGGGGAAACCGTGGACCTGGCAACCTTGGCTTGAACTATGATTCATAGGGTCAAATAGAACCTGCGTTAACAGCGCTGTGTTGATGTCTTATTGTCTTATATAAGTATGACACATGCATTTTCTTCATGCAAGTTGCTGTCTCATACATTTTCTGCCCCCTTTTGATTGACAGGACATAAATAGTCCCTGATCATCTGCTGTTTTTAAGCAATTACTTTAATCGGCTGATACCGATTATTGGCCGATACATCAGTGCATCCCTACTTTAAACCAGTATATTATAAACAATGACCTGGGTTGGTTACCATTTAGAATTTAATTGTGCATTTTAAATTCCAATTCAGTTCCTATTTTTCAGCACTCGTTGTGATGTTATTAAAATCCTCAGGCCTTGTATTCTGATCATGGACTCCCTGCGTGGACCAACCAGGTCGACTGTGGTGAAAACATTACGAGAGTAAGTTATTGCTCCGACACAGACGAGTAAAAATAAAACCTTTAAATGGATGTGATTTTCTGATCACAGATGTTTTTGCAACGAATAGTTATTTTTCTGTGAGAATCATGGACAATCGCCTTGAGTTTTTAAACAATAATGAGAGTGGCTGTAAGTTTGCATATATATTAGTGAGTGTTTGTCCTGGTGTTTGTGCAGGTATCTAGAGGTGGAGTGGGAGGTGAAGAAAGGCTCCAAGAGGAGTTTTGGGAAGGATGTGATGAAGGGCTCGAGTCCTCGTGTGCCCCAGCAGGATAACTTCAGTGACTGTGGAGTTTATGTGCTGCAGTATGTGGAGAGCTTCTTTGAGGTGAGAGGACTCATGGGAACTGTATATCTAATAGTGGACTGGACAACATATTCTGGATCCCCCAGATTTTCAAAAAACTGCCAGAGCTTCCTCATATTCTACGCTTTTGTTCACACACATCCCAGACATTTTGGTAAAGATGAAGGACATTGCAGTGGTAATAGTTTCACGTTAAATCAAATAGGTAATTCAGGTCTCACTTTAGTTTTTGGACCAATTCTAAAGGCCATTGCACACCGAGTCCGAAATTTTTGCATAAATTGAAAAATAAATACGACCTCACGTTATGTCAATCACTTTTACACACTGCCTCCGAAACTTTCATCCGTCATAAAAAAATTCGGATCGGGTTCGATTTTCTGCGTTTTTCGCATCCGTAGCAAGCTTTTTGAGAGGTGTTTTGACAATTCAGATCCACCGAACAAGCGAACAACAAAATCCAGAATGGCGATTGTAAAGTTCATCCACTTCGTCTCGCAGCACAAAGCACCGTAAAGATCCTTGCACACTGAGTTCACAGAAACTGGTGGTCTTCTTTTTAATATGTGGCTCTAGTATCGCTAGCAAAGCATCAAACTGAGTTACTAGCCGGGTTTCCATCCAAAGTTGCGAATTTAACTTGTGCGCAAAACTGGAATATTGCATAAAAGATTTGCGAACAAGCATCGTTTCCATCCAACAAGTCAAAGAGAACTAAATCGTCACTTCCTGATAAACTGGCACTATAAATCACTAAGAAAAGTAGGAGAATATAATCATTTTCATATATAATAAATTACTTGCGCCTCAGAGCGAGCAGAAGAAACAACACAATGAATGCAGTCATTGCTTTCGGAGGTGGATGCTGCTTTTTGGAAACGCAGTCGTGTAAGACATTTCTGGGAGGCAATTATACAGAAATACTTTGATGACATACTTTGCTCGTGCATTTCCGAATGACCATAACAACATTTCAGATGCTGTGTATGGAACGATATTCCGGACAATTTTCAAATAGAATAGCAAATTGTATTTTCAATTGTGTTTTCAATATGTGGGCGCATAAATTGTGACAATCCAAATGCAATTGCAAATCCTGCATTACCGTTTGCATTTTCGCTTTCGCGAACGCAGTGACTGCCAAATTTCAAATGAAAAACCAAAGTCCATTTGCAACTGTATTTCCCATGTCTTAGGAGTTATGAGCCTGTCATATTTAAATAGCAATATTAATTACCACGTCTGCTTTTTCACTCTTGCTGCGTCGTGCATGTAACCTGCCAAAACTCAAATAGAATCGCAATTCCTTTTGCATTTGAATTTCCGATGTCTACATGGAAAGCTGCCAATCATGGCACAATACATAATTCTGTCTTTTTTACCCCAAATGTAGCGATTATCCCCTGCTAACAGCGGGAGCCACAACGGTACGCACATTAGGTCAATATTCACTATTAACCAAACGCTTTCACCTGTCTCAGCATCTCTCACTGTTTACACTCACTTACACTTTTAATCCATAATAGAGAGCGTCACACCTGCCTCAAGACCTTTTACCGTTTGCACTCCATTTGATGTACTTAAGCAAAAAACAGTGCAAATCTACACGTATTTACCTATTTGCCGCCTATATCTTATTCCTATCTAATTGCCTATGTGCACCTGCCTCAAGATCTCGATAGATGCATGTGACAACACAGTAAATGCTTCTACTCTTACTCTGCCTGCCCCAGATGACACTTCAGCAGTCAGATCTAGGTGCTGCTGTCATAGAACACGCCACAGCCAAGGCAAGATAACATTACAAATCACGTGCATCAATCGCGGT